TAAAATAAAATAAAATAAAATAAAATAAAATAAAATAAAATAAAATAAAATAAAATAAAATAAAATAAAATAAAATAAAATAAAATAAAATAAAACAAAATAAAACAAAATAAAATAAAATATATGAAGGCTGTGTATATTTACATGTATATATAAAGGCTAGTCTGTGGCAGGAGGTAAAAGCATCACCCAAAGGTTACAATGAGGCATGGGCTTGTTTGGTTGCATAGGAAATGTAATTTGAGATTTAGGAATTAATTGGGGGGGACAGAGAAACGYCTGGGATGAGCCCAGCCCTGCCACCCRTCCTGCTTAGCATGTGCAGGGCTCYGCAAGGGCCTCCCTGGGGAGCTTTCCCAAGGCCCTGGAGGTGCCGCTGGGAGATCCCGAGGTCCCCAGCCCGGCTGTCCCTCCAGCTGGACCGTCACCAGAGCTGGTTTCTTCTCTTGGACGGTTTCTCCAGCAGGAAAAGCCAGTTCGAGACCTGCACACAGAGCAAGGCGACTTSAGCTTGGAAGCCAAGCGCAAACAGGGAGCAGGTCTGTTCAGTCCAGAACCAGTTCGGCACTGGGAGGCCCTGGTGCCTCTGGCTGCCGGAGGCTCCTTGACCAGCCTGGCTTGTGCTGGAGCCCCAAACCCCGGAGCCGCTGGAGAGTTGTAGGAGGGGGCGGCAATTTGGATCCAAAGGTCCTTCAGCGCTGGACCTTGTTCCCACCCTGGGGGCTGTCATGGTGACATCCATAGGCACAGGCCCTATGGATGCACCTGGCAAAGCTGTCCCCAACCGCGCTGCTCCAGGGACCTTCTGTGCCCCGCATCAGCGTGGTGGGTCCCGCGGGCCCCCTGCAGCCCCCAGACTCCCCCTTCTCCCCAGATTGCCTTGGGGACCCTCGGCGGGGGCTCGCGCTCTCCCCACCCGGGGCATCCTTGGGCAGACGTCTCCATCTAGTGGCATTTTGGATGGTGACAGCCGCGTTTGGGCGCCGGGCACCTCCTTGGGTGCCAACACCCCCGTCTGGGGTGCAAACAGCCTCCTTTTTGCTGCAGACATGGCTCAGTCGGCCCCCACCCCCTGCTTCATGCACAGACCTCGCCTTGGGTGCTGACACCCCTCCTTGGGTGCAAACACCCTTCCTTGGGTGCAAACAACCTTCCATGGGTGCTAACCCCTCTCCAGGGGGTGCTGACACTGCTCAGGGGGTTCCCAGCTGGGTGCAGGAATCCATGGGCATCCTGTTGTCCCGGAGACAGGAGCCCGGCTGGACCCGCTCTGCATTCCCAGGAAGCAGCTTGCCCAGTGTCCTCCTTCCCAGGCAGCTGCTCTGGGAAGAGGGTCCAGCTGGATTCTACTGGATTTCCATCCCTGTGCAAGGAGGACATTCCTGGGGACATGGCTCTTCCTGCAGGAAGGCACCCAGGGGGCAGGCATGGGGATGGGGATGAGGAGCGGGGCTGGGAACCAGGGATGAGGACTGGGATGGGGCTGGGCAAGGGATTAGGGATAGGGATGGGGGCACTGGGAACTGGGGATGGGGACCAGGCTGGAGATGGGCACCAAGGCTGGGATGAGGTTGGAAATGGAGACCAGGGCTGTGAATGGGCTGGGGACAGAGACGGGGATGGGGACCAGCACTGGGAACTGGGAACGGGGATCAACACTGGGAATGGGGACCAGCACTGGAGATGGGGCTGGGGACCAGGGATGGGGTTGAGAATGGGGACAGAGGCTAAGAATGGRGCTGGGGACAGGGATGTGGGGGGCTGGGGACCATGGCTGGGAACTGGAACTGGGGCTGGGACCAGAGCTGGGAATGGGGACCCCAAGCAGCTGCGGATCCATCCGTCAGGGCCGGGTGCCAGCAGCTGCCACGGGCGCTGGGCGGCTGCCAGCAGGGCCGTCCTTGGGGCCGTCCCCTCGCAAGGGTGACAGCACGTCTCCGGTGCCGTCACTCTTTCCAGCGACATTGTCTGCGAGCGGCGGGGGCGACGGCTTCCCAGCACCAGCGCGTCCCGCGGAGCTGACGCCAGCGCGGAGCGGGGAGCAGGACATCCTGCACCCCCGGCTCCCACCCCGGGGACGCGTTTCCCGGCTTGGGTGGGGACACGGTGGCGGCTCCGGGTGCCCTGATGCTGCCGGGCACTGGAATGCACTGGACGCGGGGTCCCAGCCTTGTCCCTGGGTTTGGGGACTCGACCTGCTGCAAGGCGGGGTTGTCCTTCCAGCCCCTGCCCGAGCAAACAGTGCCGGGTGAAGGACTTGGGTGTTTGCAGCGATTCCTTAAGCTGGAATTTGGCCTCCTCCAGAGCAAACAAGGGCGGTGATGGCGCGGGGACGCTGTGGCCACCGGGCACCTTCCCCTGGCGCGCGTTCCCGCTGCGTCCCGCGCATTCCCGGCATTCCCGGCCGCGGGAGGGAGCCGCCCGGAGGCTCTGGCTCCCCTTTCCCACCCAGGCACCTCCCGCAGGGGCCGAGCCGGGACCTCCCCGCCTCAGTTTCCCTGGGGGGCACCAAGGGAAGGGCCCCCCGAGCCGGCGCTGGCTGAGGCCTCGTTCCGCATCGGAGCGGAAAGCCAGGCCCTGCAGCCGGCTACGCGGCAGGACCCGGCCTGCCCGCGGCTCCCGGCCCGGCGTGCCGGCGCCAGCTGCTCCTGGGGCAGGGACACACGGGAAATGGGGACAGCGGCGGGGAGGGGACGGGGTGCCAGTGGTCCAGCCACCTGCCCCGGCCTCGCGGCTCATATCCCAGAGCGGGAAGCGATGCCGGGAATGGGGGGGAGGCTGGCGCCACATCCCGGCCCGACCGGCCGGACGGGTTGCGGGAGGCGCCACGACGGCACCCGCGGGAGCCGCAGGGGGAGACGGACCCTGGGGCGCTCCTGGTTCCGGGTGTCCCCATCCCGCCCGCTGCTCCCGGGGTGCTGCAACCCCTGCTCCACCTGGGGGTTGGGGGCAGCCGGGGGGTCCCATCCCATTGGCACCCAGGGGTCCATTTAAGGGTCCCATCTCAGAGACCATTCTTGGAGGGGGGGTCCCATTTGCACCCACGTTTAGGTGCCAGTTCTGGCACTGGAAGTGCCCATGCAAGCACAGCCCTTTGCACACACACACAAGGGTGTGCACACAATCATGGCTGCATACCAGTGTGCATATGCTCGTGCATGCATGTACTCATGTCTGCACACATGCAGCCCCTCCATGTGCACACGTTCACCCACATGCATGCTGCTGTGCACGTCCCTATGTATACACTCATGTGTGCACGTGCTCATGTGTGTGTGCACACACTGTGCATGTGAGAACATGCACCTTTGCACATGCACCCCTGTGCACGTGCTCGTGTGTGTGCACACACACCTCTGTGCATATGCGTGTGTGCATGCACACCCCTATACATGGGCAAGCGTGCACCTTTTTAACTCGCATATGTGTGCACATACTTGTGTGTGTGCACACACACCTCGGTGCACACCTGTGTGTGTGCATGCACACCCCTATGCATGGCCAGGCATGCACCTTTGCACACACACCCCATGCAAGCGCTCGCGTGTGCATGCTCACTCCTGGGCATGTGTGAACATGCACCTGCACACAAATAAGGTTGTGCACAT